CATATGTTAGATTGTTTATCATAGTTAGGAGTTGTATGGGTAGATTGGTGATCGTAGTTAGGAGTCATATGTTAGATTGTTTATCATAGTTAGGAGTTGTATGGGTAGATTGGTGATCGTAGTTAGGAGTCGTATGGTTAGATTGTTTATCTTAGTTAGGAGTCGTATGGGTAGATTGTTGATCGTAGTTAGGAGTCGTATGGTTAGATTGTTTATCATAGTTAGGAGTCGTATGATTAGATTGTTTATCATAGTTAGGAGTCGTATGGGTAGATTGTTTATCTTAATTATAAGTCATATGGTTAGAATTTCTACCTTAATTATAAGTCATATGGTTAGATTGTTTATCTTAGTTAGGAGTCGTATGAGTTGATTGTTTATTGTAGTTAGGAGTCGTATGTTAGATTGTTTATCATAGTTAGGAGTTGTATGGGTAGATTGTTGATCATAGTTAGGAGTCGTATGGTTAGATTGTTTATCTTAATTATAAGTCATATGGTTAGATTGTTTATCTTAGGAGTCGTATGATTAGGTTGTTGATCTTAATTAGGAGTCGTATGGTTAGATTGTTTATCTTACAGTTAGTCTTTGTTATATCTTATGTCATTTCATGGTTATATTTGTAGTCAAGCCTGAAGGGCAGTGCCCAAAATGTCATGACGAATAAAAAGTTTTAGACATTTACTACTCCGAATTATTCTTACCATCAGCTTCTTCTTTTCGGCTTCTTGAAGCTTTGTTTCTTTTTCTTTCTAAGTTTGAGAAATAATCACAGAAATAACTTAGTAAAATAAAGTTATGCAGAGAATTAAAATCCAAACCAATAAAAGAATAAAATGTATCTAGCAGTAGAATAAATTCTTCCTTTGCGACTTTCACAAAACACTATGTAATTTGGACACTAGTAAGGCAGAATTGTAAGTATAATTAATCGTGACTTTCACAAAACACTATGTAATTTGGACACCAGTGAAGGCAGAACTGTAAGTATAATTAATTGTGACTTTCACAAAACACTATGTAATTTGGACACCAGTGAAGGCAGAATTGTAAGTATAATTAATCGTGACTTTCACAAAACACTATGTAATTTGGACACCAGTGAAGGCAGAACTGTAAGTATAATTAATCATGACTTTCACAAAACACTATGTAATTTGGACACTAGTGAAGGCAGAATTGTAAGTATAATTAATCGTGACTTTCACAAAACACTATGTAATTTGGACACCAGTGAAGGCAGAACTGTAAGGTAAAGGCAGAACTGTAAGTATAATTAATCATTGATTATTAGACATGCACATATTACTCTTTTCATCTGTCATATAAGACTTTCCTCACAAATCTCTACGTATGTTTGCAACTATACAGTAGACTTGATTCATTTTATTTATACCTTATTCATCTTTATTTTAGTATTTAAACTGCGCCAACTGTAACGCACTATTCTTTCAGGTACAAACCTGGTACACTGACAAACACTTTACAGACAATTCTGTACATTACCAAAAATAACAGGTTTATGATTAATTTTTAAAATTCATTAAAAATTTCTGAGTCTATTTGTAGGTAAAAGATTTTAGGTGTTTTTTTAAGGTACACTTAGAAATTAGTTTAACTTAAAAGTTTTCTATATCAGCTTTTTAAAGTCACTCACTAGAGCCATGTTTAAGTCGTGTATTTGACCTTCGTAATTTGAGCGTTGTATGTCTAGTTCTAGCTGGGCTTCTTCCTTCAAGTCTTGCAGCTGGGTTAACATCTCAATCCGAGCTTGATCTCTAGCCTTAGACACTTCTGCTTTTAATCTTTGGATGAAATAAGAGCTGAGTGTTGTTAGGGATGTACTCAATATTACATACAAATAAATTATAACACTTCGGTTTGAGCATTAATAGCACATGAGGGTACATCATACAAGAATTCTAACAATGAGCTAAATATTTGTATTAGAAATCTGGTTTTGTGACCTGAATATTGATCTGTAGGTTAATATTCTTTGGAACTTATAATGTTTATTTAATGATAATGTATTAAATGGTTTTAATGGTTATATTACAGCTACTGAGTGCTTGGTATAAGAAACAAACTATTATTCTGATCTCAAGTATTTTAATAAGATACTGTCTCTAACAGTAACAAGTATAATGTTTTAGGACACAACCATTCATTTAATCAAGACTTGCAACGTAATCATACAACCATACAACTTATAATATAACAAACAGACTTATAACCATACAACTTATAATATAACAAACAGACTTATAACCATACAACTTATAATATAACAAACAGACTTATAACCACACAACTTATAATATAACAAACAGACTTATAACTACACAACTTATAATGTAACAAACAGACTTATAACTACACAACTTATAATGTAACAAACACTTACAACCACACAACTTATAATGTAACAGACTTATAACTACAGAACTTATAATATAACAAATAGACTTATAACCACACAACTTATAATATAACAGACTTACAACCACACAACTTATAATATAACAAAGAGACTTACAACCACACAACTTATATTGTAACAAACAGACTTATAACTACAGAACTTATAATATAACAAATAGACTTATAACTACACAACTTATAATATAACAAATAGACTTATAACTACACAACTTATAATATAACAAATAGACTTATAACTACAGAACTTATAATATAGCAAACACTTATAACTACACAACTTATAATATAACAAATAGACTTAACTACAGAACTTATAACAAATAGACTTATAACTACAGAACTTATAATATAGCAAACACTTATAACTACACAACTTATAATATAACAAACACTTATAACTACGAAACTTATAATATAACAAACAGACTTACAACCATACAACTTATAATATAACAAACAAACTTATAATATAACAAACAAACTTATAACTAAAAACTTATAATATAACAAACAGACTTACAACCATACAACTTATAATATAACAAACAGACTTATAACTATACAACTTATAATATAACAGACTTATAACGACACAACTTATAATATAACAGACTTATAACGACACAACTTATAATATAACAGACTTACAACCACACAACTTATAATATAACAAACAGACTTATAAATACACAACTTATAATATAACAACCAGACTTACAACCACACAACTTATAATATAATCATACGACTCCTAACTAAGATAAACAATCTACCCATATGACTCCCTGTTATGTACAGCTATAACTTGCTGCTGTGATTTAGCATATAACTATGACTTGCTGCTGAAAGCCACATCAGCACCACTAAGCTACAGCTACAATGAGCATTTGTATTTGTAGATATTGAAATTTCTGATCACAAGAGCTTTATGGATGTGAAGATGCTGGATGACAACATAAATAAAGCCACATCAGCACCACTAAGCTACAGCTACAATGAGCATTTGTATTTGTAGATATTGAAATTTCCGATTACAAGAGCTTTATGGATGTGAAGATGCTGGATGACAACATTTTAACTACAAATTCAATGGAGAAAAGAACTATTAATAATCTTTAAATTTCAAATCCACTGACAATTTTTTTGCTCCTCTGCCATTTTAAGGTATCAAGTATCCTGTTACAATACAGATTCCATTATCAAGAAAGACAGTAAAAGTCAGCATGCCATTCGACAACTTAAGTGAAAAATTTTAAATAAAAAAAAAGTAACGAAACAATGTTATAAAAGACGGATTAAAAAGTGCCAGATATTCTGAAATGGAGTTCATCTTAAAGATCTAACAATATGCGAGGCAAAAAAAAAAGCATTTTGTAGGTTTTTTTTTTGTACGATGTAGAATTGATGAACAAACAGCTGTTAAATATACTGGTATAAAGCAGTTGCATAATGTTATGAGTGAGAAAGTATAACAAATCAAAAAGACAAAAAATAATACGACTATAGATTAAAGTTCTCTAATGTTTTCATTTACACCGTAGAAAACACCTACTTCTATGTCATAACCAACTGGTTCATAATCTGGCTTCTCCATTTTCATCTAAAAAATGAAATAAACACAAACGAAGATCATTTTAAAATAAATTTAAAATTAGAAAACAATAAACAACTTAACTATAACTTGACCAAAAATGCTGTTAACAACAAAGTACCCAACCAATGATACAATGTATTCCAGTCTCTATAAAAGTGAACAGTATACAAACCTACATTCACTACCAGATTGGTTATACTGATTTTTATTTTTAATCTAATTGGTAGCGTGCTCTGATCAGAAGGTAATAATAATAATAAAAGTAACCTTCAATAAGTATCCAAGATAACAAAAGTATATAATAGAATGTCATAAAATGATCTTTTTTGTAACAATGGATTAAATTCAACTACATCAATCACATCGCATTAATAAGCTACAGGAGAGATGGAACTATGCTGTTTCTCTCAATTGGGGTTACCTTCACAGTTTATTATCTGAACTGTGCGGTAAACTTCAGTTTATGATCATAACAAGGCCTAAAAACTTAAACATAACCTATCCTCTACATCAATTTATGTTGTCATCCAGCATCTTCACATCCATAAAGCTCTTGTAACCAGAAATTTCAATATCTACAAATACAAATGCTCATTGTAGCTTTAGCTTAGTGGTGCTGATGTGGCTTTATTTATGTTGTCATCCAGCATCTTCACATCCATAAAGCTCTTGTGATCAGAAATTTCAATATCTACAAATACAAATGCTGATGTGGCTTTATTTATGTTTTTTTCCTGCCAGCAAACTTCAGTTGCTAGCTGCCTGTACTGTGACTTAACTAAAGCACTTAAGGTGGTCCTAAATATGCTATAATTAGAGAGACAGTTAATTTGTATTTAGGTCTTACTTTTATATTTTAGTTAATTAAGTATTATGTGTTTTAAAAATGATATTTAAACAGTTTAATGATTTTTATAAGTTTAACTCGTCGCCTAGATTGTGAAAGGCTATAAACAAGATAGCATGTGTAAGTTCCATCTTTTTTTGGCGACGTGTCTCTGTGGGGTGTCTATCAAAATACCTTCATAAAGTTCCACAGGCATCATTTGACATATCGGCATAAATTATAACAGATGAAGAAGTTGAAAGGAAAATTTAAAAAAACTAAAAGTGAAAAGGTAAAGACGTGGCGTTAGGCATATAAAAATACAATTACTATAGTGGATTTCTACGAAGAGTTGAAAGGTATGTACATATTTCCATTGGATAATTTTTATACATTTCATTGCACTGTATGTTGATGATAATAGATAGAATTAATAATAGGGTAGAGAAAATGGAAAATAATATATAAATATTTACCTTAAAAAAAACTTTTGATATTCATTTATGAGGTTCTAGAGATTACACAAATGAAATATGAAAACTGCAAGATAAAAAATAGTATTTTTATACTTCATATATAAAATTCACCTTGAAGGTGAACTATTCAGAGTGCGAGTGCAAATAATTACGTTAAATAAGAAATGTTTTATTTCTCTGAAACTATACTTTTAGGAACATTCTCGTCAAATTTTAAACAATTTCATCCACTAGTTTTATTTTTGGGACAAAATATGATAAGAGCGATGCTACCTTCTAATAAAATTAGAAGCCGTAGTCATAGGGTTAAACACTAAATAACCACTTAAATATTAATGTAGTCACTTAAACACTAAATAGTCATTTAAGTATAAATGATCAAGCAGGCAACAATAGTAACTGCAGTTACATATACTTCAATACAAAAACTGTGTGCCAATTACCTGGAGTATAGTGTAAACTGAGCCCTTTCTAATGACTATATACACTTGTGTCAACTAACTACATGTACACTGTAGATCTCAAGGCAAAGTATAGAAGGTGGGCATAGCATTCATCAAGGGTTGGACTTAGGGACTACATACGATCTCACGTATCATATAGGTCAAACACGTACTTAGGGACTACATACGATCTCACGTAATCATATAGGTCAAACACGTACTTAGGGACTACATACGATCTCACGTATCATATAGGT